AAAAGTAGGGTTATAGTAAAGGTTTCAACTCTTCAAGTTTTGGCTATTGAAGAAGTTCCCAGAGCCTGTGCAGTGCAGTTTGCTAATGTGATTTTTTGAAATTTCAGTGTGAGAGAAACTTTTTCTGTATAAAAGAAGTAAATATATACAAAAATATTTAGTCTGTTGTGAGTCATTTGACATGGATGCTAACTTAAGTGTTGGGGCTGCCTGGTATAGCTTTCATGAAGTTTGAGAAAAAGTCTAAACAATCATGATTTCTCTACTGGATTGTGATGTATGCGTTTACTTTTCTTGTAGACATGTCCAATTTTCATTTGTACATCTCTTTCAGTTTTTATTTTAGTTTATTTTTTACTTTTCCTATTTGGTTAGGCTGTGCAATGTATCTATGAATTTTTCAAACCTAGAATTCTGAAACTGTACTCCTTTGTGTTTTGAAATTCTAGATTCGTTTGTTGCTTATCTGTATGCTATTAATTGCATTACAGCATAATAAATGATGAAGATCTTCTGAAAATACTTGAGCTTCCGATTTTGGTGGTGCTGGATGAAGCATACATTGAATTTTCAGGACTGGAATCTAGGATGAAGTGGGTGAAGAAGCATGATAATTTAATTGTTCTACGGACATTTAGCAAAAGAGCAGGTTTGTTTGTGGGAAAGTCATTTATGTGTAGAAACTTGAAGTTTAGTGTAGATAACACATGCAATGCTATTGATTATTGAATCCATGGATGGAAAAATTTTTCATGATGATTTGCCTTTTCAATTCACAAAAAATAATTCTTAATGATTGTAGTAGTTACAGTATGACATAAGGTTTAGAGAATGTGGGGTATAATGAAAGGCGATGCCCTCTTTTGTCTTGCTTTGCGATGCAAATATCTAAAAGAAAAAAAAAAACTTTTATCATGCTATTTTTTAATTCATGTAACAACCTGTCACCTTGGTTTCATAGTTGCTATGCTAAGAACAGGAGCATCTTTACTTTATTCATTTTCAAATCAGGAAACCTGACAATCATGATTGAATAATAATTCATTGTCAGCAAGGTTGTTTGCCATGGTACATGGGATCCCAATCCCATGCATTGTATTTGTTCATTGGGGACTTTGCACATGCTCCATAGCTTGCATGATAGAATTTTCAGGCAAGAGTTGAATTTTCTACCACTTTTCAGTAAAAGGATCTTAAATACCTGTAATATAAATGTTTAATTGTGCTTCACCTAATCAACACACTCTTACATTTTTCACTTGGATGATGTTTTGAGCTTAATGACACACTAGATGTAATGCACTCAAGGTCCTGGAGAACAGATCCTCTCTTGAAAAGGAGGGTACTTAAACAATAATAGTCATCTGTGCCATACCACAATGAAATAGAAGGTTACATGCATTATACGCTTCATGTAAGTGAATAATGCAATATGATGCGAAGCCTGGAAGAAAGGAAATTTTCTGCAAAACAAAGTGAAAATTGAATGTTATTCTGGTTTTGTGGAAATGCATGAGAGGAATTACCTTCAGCTTAATTATAAGCTTGTGCATGCATGTGTTTTGGGTTTACAAGGATGCTAAATCAGAGCCAAGGAGGGGTTAGGGTTGAAACATGCCAATTGACCTATGGCTCATTTGGCACAATGTGTAATATGTAATAACATCATAGTTGGCTTTAGACTGTGTTCTTCCCCATACTATTTTGCTTTTGGTCAGAAAATGTGAGCTTGTTTTATCCAAAAAGTTTCTTTTCCTTGGCAAAAAAAGTGTCTTTCCATAAGTTTTTGTGTTCTGACACTTTTTTATTCTTTTGGGCTGGTTCTTTGGGATTGGTCGATGGATGGGTGAAGTTTAAAAACATCAGAAGCTCACCTTGTAAATGAATGCCATTGCAGGCTTAGCAGGACTCCGAGTTGGTTATGGAGCATTTCCCTTGAGCATCATTGAGTATCTTTGGAGAGCTAAGCAACCTTATAATGTTTCTGTTGCTGCTGAAGTTGCTGCATGTGCAGCATTGCAGAACCCTACATACCTTGAGGTTGAATTTTCTTTACATTTTTTTGCTTTATGTGATGCTTACTAATATAGAATGCTTTGAATAAGTACACATAAAGTTTACGTTTGCTTTTTTGTGCATGAGCGCAATATAAAACACTAGTGAGCCTATCTCTACAGAATTATTTGTGCTTGAGTGCAATACGTAACACTAGTGCCAATATCTACAGGATGTCAAAAATGCTTTGGTAGAAGAGAGGGAAAGACTTTTTAAGTTTCTGCAGGAAGTGCCATTTCTCACACCATTTCCAACTCATTCTAATTTCATTCTTTGTGAGGTTAAATCTGGAATGGATGCTAAGAAGCTCAAGGTATGTGTTGGTACTGTGTGGCAATTACTCACATTGCGAATATGCAATCAATATTCATTGTATAATGTTTAGCTTTGACTTTTTGGGTGCCTTTTTTCTTAATTTTTTTCAATGAAGTTTGTCTGATTTGAATTAATCAGCAATGCCAAGGTTAGTGATGAGCTTTCAAATTTAGGTTGCTGATTAGGACACAGACATCTTATTCAATTGAGTATCTTGTGTGGAAAATGGACATGCATGGGTTGATTTATTTGTTTTATTGGTTTCACCTGAATGAACGTGCAAAGTATAGATATTGATAATTTATATATTATATCTTATTTCAATTATAGCAGCTCATAGCTTGACCTTTAGAAACATTTCTGGAACTATATTTACGATTTTGTTGGGGGGTTTTTCTTAAAGTAGGGAATTCGTTTAAGAGATAGTCTGAAGTAGGGAAGTGCATTAAGTGAGGAAATAGATTGTCTCAGGTAGGGAACTGCATCAAGTGAGGATGCCCTTGTAGTAGATGATCGTCCCAAGTAGGGAGTTTCGTCAATTGTGGAATTCCTTTGTGTGATTTGAGCGTAAGTGTCCTTTATGCAGTTGGCACAAAGAAACCTCAACTTCAAGTCACATAAAAGAATCCCACACTTGACTTAATTTCGTACTTGTATTCACTCCCTACTTAGAAGGATTTCCCCATTGGAAGGAAAATCCCTCTACATATTGTAACTGTAATTTAGGCCTCTTGTTAGATTTTGCTCCTGTAACATTAAAATTTAAACCTCAATATTCTTAATATTTGTGTTTTGGTTAATGTTGCAAGTATTGTCATGAGTCAATTGTTTGATTTTGTCTATCAATATGCTAAATTCCACCCTCGTGTGTGTTGTGAACATTTTTATGCTGAGATGTTACGTGTATTGCAGGACGATCTTGCTAGTATGGGAGTGATGGTCCGTCACTACAATAAGAAAGAACTGAAGGGTTTCATTCGAGTATCTGTTGGGAAGCCTGAACAAACAGATATATTGATGCAGTGTCTTAAGCGCCTTTCTTGATTTACTTACCATGTATTTGTTAAGAGGACCTGTTCGGAAGCCTGATCAAATAGAGTATCTGACACGGTATTTCTTTGGCCCTTGTTTTTGAGTAATTTTGTAACAAACTGGAATTGCAATTTCATGGCCAGTGAATGTTATGGAATTCCAAAAGCTTATGGATTTCCCACGTCGTAAAAAGCTGGTGACTGCTTTATTGCCTTTTCTTTTCCCCCATAAAGAGGTGTTTTGACTGCTAGTTACTTGAATTTGAGTCCCGAGACGACGTTGTTTGTGTATGACTACATAGATATGGTAGAGTTGTTGATCATTGACGTTTGACAGGAAGCAAGGCATCGTCGCATTAGTTGATGGTAACTGGACGTCTTTGCTAGCCCTTTCGGAAGTGTTTTGAGTGTAAAGAAGCATTTCGGGACTAACTCCATTTAGATTTGTGGTCAATAGGAGCGTGCCACGTGTTCAATGTGTAAAAACGACTTATTCAAAATCATAACCTAATATAGGGATCGATTCTGCCTCGGAACCAGAGGTTTAAGGACCACCCGATTCTGTTTCTTAGAATCACTAGGTTTTACGTACCAAAATTGCAAAATTCCCAGAGGACAAAAACTTTCATTGAACCGATGTTTATGCCCAGAACTTGATTCGATAAAGGATGTAACAATATTGGCAATTGAAAAGCTTGTTTGAGAATAACTGAGCATTAGGGCAAACAAAAAACATCATTTAGGAATTAGGAAGCAGGAACGGGGTTGAAACTGTGTTTTCTTAAATTTTAATTTTTATTAAAATTATTTTTTTATATTTTTAAATTGTTTTGATATATTAATTTTAAAAATAAAAAGTATTATTTTAATATATTTTTAAATAAAAAATATTTTAAATAATAACCACTGTAATAATTATAAACAGGCTTTTAACTTGTATGCAGGAAGGTTTGAGACCTTTTGTATGCCAAAAGTGGAAACGAAACATGTATAGATTGCCTTCTCGTGAAGAACTTGAGCTAGAGGCATATTCTTTTCCACTTGAGGGAGGGAAAGATAGCTTATCGTTTATACTACAAAGCTTAAAAAATCCCACCAAAAGGGCTCAATTTTATTCTACTTTCCAGCTTAAGGTGATGAGGCAGTGATGGAGAACGGGTCAAAAATATTATAAAATCTTAGGAAATATATAGAAATCTGCTTTTAATTTATTTCCTTTTTCCTTTTTTTAGCTAATGTAGATGCCGTTTATATGTAAAATTTCTTCTTCTGCTCTTTCCTTCATGTGAAAAAGGTCTCTATGTTATTTGATTAGTGAATAAGTAAAATTTAATGTAAGAATACTTGGCCTTTGTATTAAGTCAGCTTCCTTTTGAAAAACACAGTTCTGAACTGTTATATCCGTGTCCCCACTTCTTGTTTTGATGCTTCGTCTCTGAATCTTCCTCTGGAAGTGAACAAGGCTTGTATAAAGACCACCTTGAAACGGTTCTGTTTCACAAACTTTTGCCTTACATGATGAAAAGGGTACTGTATCTTGCGTGTTTTTCTCCTTTTTTTCTCAGAGAAAAACCATCTTCTATCCACATTGATGAAGCAATGAACTCCTTTTCCTCTCTTCTTCAAGATATCAAGAACCTAGAATCCTCATTAACCGAAAACTCCTTATCCCTTCGATGGTGTTCAGAAGCCACAAATCTCCTCAGGAAGATGCACTTTCAGTTTCTTGATATATTTCAGGAGTCTGAGGAACCCGTGTTCTGGGATGGGGGGAACTATATGGATGAGTACATGGAAGATTCTTTACATATCCTGGATTTTTGTAACGTTCTGCGATCAGCCATTTCTACGATGGACAGGTACCGTTTAATAGTTGATGTTGCTGTTAAAAGATTTTCTGATGAAGGGTATTCAGGTTCTGCCATGATTATGACTGAAATTGAGAAATTAGAAAGAGAATGGCTGAAGCTATATGGTATTGAGAACTGGAAAAATGTGAATCTATGCAAGGCAGGAAGACCGAAAACAAAGACCAAGGATAATAGATTATGTGCAGCAAATGTTGTACGAAGAACCATGAATACTGTCTGTTTGCTCTTGTTTTGTGCAATATTCTATCCAGTTTCAATAGAACTGGATGAGGAGGTTTATAGAGATTTTCCTCAACTAAAGCTATTCTCATCTTCACTGAGGAAGCTTGTTTGTTGCTTCTTCGAGGAGCGACAAGGTGTCAAGGATAACTCAAGGCCAGTTCTAGTCGAGACTAAAATGGTAGAGGGCGCAGTTGAGGAATTTAAAGTTCAGATTCTGAATGGTGGCGTGCCTCTGAATAAAGAGAAGTTGAAAAAAACCATTGATTCACTGCAGAATAGTTCCCTGGCTATGAAGGAAGGCCTTGGAATGCTTGATTCTGTTGTTAATGAGCTGTTTCAAGAGGTAGTGAAAGGAAGGAATATGATTCTAGGTTTAGTTGCTTCAAGCTAGAAGAATTCTGACAAGAATTTTTTTTTCTATATATTTATCTAAAACATTGATTCAAATTACATTAAACCACAAAGAAAAAGTCTTGTGCTTGAGGTTTTTGGTCGAGATTTTGTTGATTGAAGAAGGGAATGTTTGAAAGTGTAATAGAAGTTATATTTAAAAATGTTTTTTAATATATTAAAATAATATTTTTTTATTTAAAAATTATTTTTGATATTAATATATCAAAACAATCATTAAATATATATAAAAAATAATTTTAAGCAAAATAATTTTAAATTTTTATAAGAATTTGGAGTGCAATTCCAAACTGAGCGGAAGCCTTTTCTTGTGCCACAGGAAAACTTAACTAGAATACACATTTGAATAGGCTTAGCTGTATAATTCAATGACTCCAAATATCATAAGCTGAAGAATGTTGATTAGTCAAATGGGTGCTGCTTTCCATGTGGCTTGAGAAGCTAGGTGTTCTTCTAACTGGCTGTTTCAAGCATGCTTGTTCTTCCTATGCATGACCAGAAGTCTAGCTTAGCATCCAGCTCATTTGGAATGCTATAAAAGCCATTGCTTTTTTGCTTCAGGAATTACCATTCCTTTCCTTTCTCTAGCAAGTAACCAATATAAAAATAAAATTAATAATCTAATTTTTTATATATTTTACTATTTCAATTATAAAAATAACTAAGTTATTGTTTAGATATGAAATAATAAACAAATAAAAAACCAGAAAAGATGAATATGACGATCCAACAAGTTTAAATTAATAACTACCCTCTCCTAGTATGTTCAAGAGAATGACCATTTTTTCTTAGCATATCCAAGGAGATAGTTATCATACTTGGATATGCCCAGGAGGATGACACTTCTCTGTTAGGTCTAATATAGAAAAATGACTCAATTATATTTGATATTTTAAATTTTAATCTCCATATATTTTTTGTATTTTTTGTGTATAAAAGTTTTTTAAGAATCTCCTATATTTCTATCAAATATTAATATAGATATAAAAAATATTTATATATCATTAAATTCTATTATGGTAAAATTACATTTCAGACTTTTCTCTTTAAAATTCTTTGCTGCATATATATTTTCAAAGTATTTTTTTCTAAAATATTTTTATATTTTTTTTTAAAGAAATTTGTTTATATATCAAAGACTTTCTATTATCATAAAAAAAAAAAAACTTTTTACAGTTACTAATTATAAGCTACCATAAGCTATTAACCATCCTGACTAGAAAAAATAAATAAAATTACTAGGGCAGGTTTTATCATGATTTCATCAATAGGCACCTCTCATAGCTATATCTATATCGAAGGTTGATTTTGTTTCTCTGCTACCAAAGAACAAACTCACAGGTTTTGTGAAAGATCCACTCGGACATGTATTCATAAAAAAAGAAGCCAAGGAGAATTTTCAGCACAAAATCCTAGAAGCTAATTGCCTCAATATCTGAGAGGAACGATTTCTTGACTCTGGGTATACCATTGACTTAATTGACTGCAATTTTGATGCCATCAGCTAGAGTCCTTTCAAAAACCGACTCAAAACCTCCCTCAACAAGTTAGATTTTCGTAAGAGAATTGAGTGAGAATTTCTAGTACTTGATCTATATAAACAGGCCGGTGAAAGATCCAATGCCAGACCTTAATATCACCGGCACTTGAGGAACTATAGCTGGGACAATATTGTGATCTTCGAGTTGTTTTGCTCCTTAACATAAACAGAGAGTTGTTAAAGAATATTTTCCTTGTCATTGGCATATAACAATTACAAGTAGCGGGATCTGAATCGTACTGCAAAATAACGAAAATAACAGCTTTGCGTGAATAATTATTCGAACAGAGCACCTCACAAGACAAGGGGAGTATCTCACGACACCCTAGACTATGCTGCTTATAATGTAGCAGCTCGAAATAGTTTGTTCCATCGATAGCTTGTGGAGGGGAACTACATTTGCAAATACGAGCAAATGCTATAACTTCTACATGTGTTACGTACAAGGATGACATAAAGTGGAAGAACTACAACAAGAAGAAGATGCGTACCTCGATGACAGAAAGTGGAAGAACTACAACAAGAAGAAGATTACTAGCTTAACGAGAAAGAGCGGGAAGAAGAGACATCAGAAGTGCGCAACCTGCTGTTTGGTTGTTAATATTATGTTTGTTAGTTGGAGCTCATTTGGTTAGCAGAGTTTGTTAAATCAGTTAGAGTTAGTTAGAGTAATATGTTAGTAGTCAATATAGATTACTATAAAAACGCATGGCAAGGATTGTATTGGACATGAAAATAGATTACAGTCCAAATTCGATCTCGTTTCTTTCTTCTCTGCTAATAACCTTCTGTTCTTACTTCATCTTCTTCTTGATTTCTTAAGTGATCTTAACAACATGTTGTCGGCTGAGAACATTCGCCATAAATTGCTGCCAACAGATCGCCAACTTCTGTCCATTTTGCTCTCCACGCATGAAACCTCAAACACCCATCAGAGACAAATCTCTTGCGCTGATGCAGCCTCGAGAATATAAAAAAACCTAATTACCTAGTTTAGAAGAAGTGAAGAGCAAAGCCTAAAACCTAAACAAAATGTCTTCATATATAATTTATAATAAAATCTATTATACTCTCTCACATGAAAAGCTTTTTAGGTTTTAAAAATTATACTTGACTTATTATTATTTTATGTTTAATTATATAGCACTCGTTTGAGTAAATTTGAAGTTTTTTTTTTCAAATTTTTATTTATATTTTAAAATCATTTTAAAATATTAATATTAAAAATAAATTTTAAATAATAAATAAATATAACTTTAAAAAACAATTACTATCACATTATCTTCTTCATTACGAAAAAATTGATTTTGGAAGTAAAGCATAGCAGTATGAAATATAAAATGAAGCTTCAATAAGTCGCAGATTAGCAATAACCCAAGCATGTTTTCAGCAACTAATAATGGATTCAGTCCTTTCCTACAAGATAGTGATGACAATGGAGAATCCAAGCAGTATGCATAATTCACATCTTGGGCGAGGAATGTAAAATAAGTAAATTTTGAGTTTTCAAACTGCAATTTCTATAAAAGAACAGTGTATACCATACAAGCCTCCTTATACATCAAAATTTGTTACAAACAATAACCAGTTTTGATACCCAATAATGTAGGGAAAATCAAATATTTTTTTCTAAATCAATGAAGGATAAAGTGCAGCTCTAGCGAATTTAATAGTACAAAAGGCAACGGATGCATTGCTGGCCAAGAAATGAAGCAATAAATGGAGAATTGAATTGCTAAAAGGAAGGCAAACTAGATCACAAATTTCTTTTCCACAGAGATAAATTCAATTTAAGTCAGAGAGACTGCAGCAGTATTACCTCACCCCAAGAATCTCGCCAATAAAACATTTCTTCTGCTTTGTGCTTTCCTCACACCTTAATTGCCAATTATTCAGAACAACATGATAGCCAACCATCACTTTTACTGCAATATATTGGGGGGCATTAGGACACATACCACCGTCAGGCTCCCAATCTGAGTGTAGCAAAAATTAATGTACAGACATGGTCATCTGGCGAAAGATATATTCAACGTGTTTCATTCTGTTGCTTCTTTATGAAGAGTACTTCGCTTCTCATCTGATCTGTGACGAAATAACTTTGCTATGGCCCTCCTCTCGCAATCCTGCAATATAGAAAAAATCATGATAAAAAAAGTAGTTTCTAGATTTCTTACAATTGTAAATCACAGGGAGAAAATTAGCTTATGACTACTTGTTTTATTTGGAAAATTTGCTGCTATTTAAGGATTTCATTCACTTTAGCAGAGATAAATCTGAGAAAAAAGATACACTTCTTCACCTTGAACATGTTAAGATAAAATGGTTCGCCAGGATTCATTCTTCTCAATTTCTGGTATGTAAAAGCAAAACTCAGCTGATCACGAGGAGTAAAGCGATCAACCTCATTGAACCAGAGACAGGAAAATAGGTTTGACATTGGAGTGTGTGCTCTCACAATTAAAGACCCTTCAGGTACATCTATAGGCAGTACAAAACATCTTGTCAGAAATAAAAACAGTAAATAAAGATCAGGAGTGAATTGTTCAACCTGAAAACTATGAGACAGAATATTACTGCTGGGAAGAAGCTTGTTTGGATCAGAGACATTGAATCTTTTCAGCCCATCAGTCTGGTAAGAAGCAAATTGCTGGTCTATGACAGTGTGATTATACTTGTTCAGTTTCTTATTTTGAACAACCTCTTCCCATACACAATGGCGATCATAGTGATTAGAAATGGCATATTCATGGCCTTTTCTCCACAAAAAGTACTCAAGAACTAGAAGAGGATCAACTTGAAGACGTAATTTGCTATCCAACCAGATTGAATACCTGGAAAACGTTTATATGCAGAATATAAGACACAATTATTAGTTCACTTGTTACTTTCAATGTCACAACTGTTTAAGCAGTGGTCACCAGAATGATGAACCACAATCTATGAGGATCCTGGACAGTTGTTTGGTGTGAACCATTCCATGTGCAAAAAATACCATAAAATGCCACTGAAATAGTGTACTCGATAGTATATAAATACCAATTTAGATCTTTCAGACATCATGATTTAAATGTCATAAATGAGAGTTCCAGAAGGACTATACTGCTGCTGGTGGTACCAGTGTTGGAACCATGGTTGCTAGAGGTCCCTCGATGACAATACTGGATATATTTATAAAGCAAGAAATGAATGGCCTTGTGTATCTTCTGCCTCCTGATCTTTTTGTCGATCAGGCCACTCAATACAATTTATACGATTCATCAAATAATAATAATAATAAGCCATGTATAATAAGGGGTCCAATACAAAAGACCACTTAAATATAAACGCCTCCATCATATTTATTAAGGTATCCATGAGAGGGGCCAGCTTAACTATATTTTGTGATCTAAAGTGCAGTCAGTTTCTCACAAATTGTAACTTATTCTTTGAGGACAAAT